AGACAACATTCAGTGATTTTGCTTGTGTTCTTCAACTTCAATGTTTTTCATGTTATCGCCTTTTTGAGCGTCGGAAGCTCCAAGACGGCCCCAGGGGCCCCAAGACCGCCCCAAGACTGCCCAAGAAGCCCCCAAGAAAGTCCCAATACACCTCGGGACGGCCCCGAAACGGCCTGAAAGGCGCCCAAGACAGCCCAAGAGAGCTCCAAAATGGACCGACAATTCGAGCCTTGCGCCCGAAGAGGCCCCCCCGGAAGCCCCACGAAGCTTCCAAAACACGCGCTATGGGCCGGCGGAATCAGCGAAGCGATTACATATTTAGGAGGAGGACGTGGAAAAGGAGGAGGAGGATGTAGAATCGCCATAGACGACAGGGGTGCGGACGCTGAGAGGGGTGCGGACGCTGAGTGGGAGGAGGAGGGGAGAGGAGGACGAGGGGGTAAATGCGAAGGAGGGGAAGCGAAGATTGCCGATGACGGAGAGTGCTTGGTGGAATGACGGATGTATATGGGTGAGTGCGACGTATGCGTCAGTCCCCAGGTTCATGGCACCGCAGTGTTTAGTACATTGCGGTGAAAGAAGCATTTCCACACGCCGATTTTTCCCACCCGTCCTGTGGTGTTGGGTCCTCGATTTACAGAGACAGCGCCCCGCGTTTCTCCTTCCTCTTGTCATTATCATCATCATAATCATCATCATCATCATTATTATAATCATCATCATCATCATCATCATAATCATCGTCATCATCATCACCACCACCACGATCATCATCATCATCATCATCATCATCATCATCATCATCATCATCATCATCATCATCATCATCATCATCATCATCATCATCATCATCATCATCATCATCATCATCATCATCATCATCATCATCATCATCATCATCATCATCATCATCATCATCATCATCATCATCATCATCATCATCATCATCATCATCATCATCATCATCATCATCATCATCATCATCATCATCATCAACAACAACAACAACAACAACAACAACATCATCATCATCATCATCATCATCATTGTCGTCGTCGTCATCATCATCATCGTCATCATTCGTTTCAGTACACCTCTCACACGGTTCGTGGCTCCATATGGAGCTTCACCGACGGCCCCAATGGCAGGGTTCGCAAGCAGTTCCACCCTCCATTGGCAGGGTTCGCATGCAGTTCCGCCCGCATTTCGGTGCCCCTCTGACACGGTTCGTGGCCCCAAAGGGAGCTCCACCGAAGGCCACAGCGGCAGGGTTCGCATGCAGTTCCCCCCCATCTCGGTGCCCCTCTCACACGGTTTTTGGCCCCATCGGGAGCTCCACCGAAGGCAACAGTGGCAGGGTTCGCATGCAGTTCCACCCTCATTTCGGCACACCCCTCACACGGTTCGTGGCCCCACGTGGCCCCACTGGCGCAGTTCGCATGCGGTTCCCCCCCACCCAGTACAGCGTTTCGTGGTCCCATAAGGGTGGTTTCACCGAAGGTCCTTGTGTCGTCGCAGTTCGCATGCGTTTCCTGCGCCCAGTACACAACGTTTCAGGACCCCAGAGGGGGCTCCACCGAAGGTCACAGTGGCGCAGCTTGCAGGCGGTTCCCCCGCCCAGTACAGCGTTTCGTGGCCCCAGAGGGAGCTCCACGGAAGGTCCCAGTGGCGCATTTCGCATACGATTTTTGCGCCCAGTACAGCGTTTCGTGGCCCACAATTGCTGTACTCACAATTGCTGTACTCACAATTGCTGTACTCATAATTGCATGTGGTTGGTTTCTTCGCCATGCTAAGTTTGCTTTCCAATCGTTCCTTTCATGCCCCTCGAGCTCTGTTCTATCAGCACATGGGTGTCTGGGGGAGTGTGGGACGTGCCGTCTCCGATCCTTAACGATTGCCCTGATTGCGAACGAATCCAGAGTCCGTCACCGACGACCTTTGCTACCCATCGCAAGAGTTTCGCAGCCTGCAGCCACTATTTCAAGCGGGATCAAGTGATTAGGATCAATACTCGTACCCTTCAGGAGCAGAGGGCTGCGATCGTCAGAGGTTGGGAGAGAGGGATAGCAGGAGGGAGGGAGGGCCAGCGACATGGAGGGGGGATGTTCTGGATGGGTGATGGGAGGGATGCAACTGGGAGAAAGAACGGACATATGCTCGACAATTAGGAGAAGAAGGAGGAGGAGGAGAAGGAGGAGGAGGAGTGCAAACCCATGAGTCATCAACGATGTTGGAATACACCATCCCTCCAAGCTCCCCCTTCATAGGCCACATACAATGGTTCATTCTCACTGATGGAACTGCCTCGTTGGAAGACAACCGTTTGAAGACCCTGAGGCATGCCAACACATGGTTCTCGGGATTCCAACGCCACGGATCAACCTGACTGTTACGTCCAGAAATTCCCGAATCGTGCCAGAACGCCACTCCTGGGACTTCAGCACCGCCAATCAAAGGACTGTTACGCCCTCCGAATCCTGAATCGTTTCAACACATCATTTCTGGTACGCTGATCATGTGAATCCGTGATACCCTTGCGGCAGTTTAAAACGAGTGTGCGCGGCGCTACGGCGAGAGCCACATTTTGAAAACAGGACCGCCCTCAACCCGTGAAGCTCTTACAAGTGTTTTAAATGAATGCGCGCGGCGCTAAGGCGAGAGCCACATTTGAAAGGGACCCGCTCTCCGTCTGTGAAACCGTTCCCAATTTTTAAGCTTCAGGGTCATACGTGATGGGGAAGTCTCAGGCGAATCGCCCATCCGGCCCTAAACACTGGCATAGGAGTGCGACAGGGGGAAGTTCTGTATAAGGAAAAGGAATGGAAGAGGAGGATGAAGAGGAGGAGGAGGAGGAGGATGCAGAAGTAGCGGAAACAAAGAATCCGAAAGGGGGGAGTACCATGGATGGGGGAACGGGAACGGGATGAAGTCGGCGAGGGGAGTGGAAGGGTGTTTGGCAGCAAGATGCGGGAGAAGTTGATGCGGATGGGGGTGTGGAATGGGGGAGGAGAGTGTGAGGGATGAGGTAGGAGGAGTAGGAGGATGATGAGGAGGCGGAGGAGGAGCAAGAAGAAAAGGATGATGATGATGAGGAGGAGGATGGTGCTGCTTCTGCTGATGTTGATGTTGATTCGGAAGGTGACGACGAGGTCAACAATACTGAGTGCGATGATGATGGTGATGATGACGGCGATGGTAAAACATGCTCTTGAGGCCGATGACGGTGATGATGACGACGATGAGGATGATGACGAACAGGCAGAGGAGGATGGGGTGAAGCCGAGGAAGAGGAGGAAGAGTAGTAGTATTAGCGGACACAGACAAGGATATGGTTGAGGATGATACGCAGGATGTGCACGAGGATGAGGAGGATGTTGAAGAGGGTACGCAAGGGAAGACACGTAAGACGGAACACGTCCATGATGATGAAGAGGATGACGAGGAAAGTGGTGGTGAGAGGAAGTGAGGTGAAGGCGCGAATGTAGACAAAAAGCGGCGGGGCGAGGGATGCGGGGAGGGGAAGGAGGAGGGAAAACGTAGGAGAGGAAGGAGTGCTTGTACGAATGGGGGAATGTATTGCCCGATCTCTGCAGGCGAGCGTCGACAGCATCTGCTGTATCCGAGCGGGAGACTGCATCGAGTACCAGAGCACATCCTCCAATCAGTGGACTGCGCCTCTCGGGAGGGAGCCACGTATCTCCGGGTTGTAGTTCCACTCCTTGCGTTCTGCCTGTAACTCCGTCCCTTGTGAGATGAACCAGCATCCACGTCTACGTCCAAACTCAGGTTCCGTGTCATTTATTCTGTATTCAGAGATGTGGCTTGGTGTCGGTCGGGACGCCAGACCACTCCACCACATTCACACACAGACAGAAGGGCCCTACTTCTGTTGGGGGTGAGGGAGGGTGCCAAAGTGCCCCAATATGGGCAAGCCCCTCCCGACAGATCAGACACGATCGTCGTCGGTACTAATCATAGCCGTCTCTACTTGCGAGTATCCTCTTCAAGACGCGTTCATGTCCTCTTGGCAATAAGAGTCTTTCCCCAGTTCGGTGGTATAGCGCATCATCGAAGTTCTGTATGCATACACGTTTACACATGCACGCATCAATCTACACAATCACACACATATGAATCGATGTATACACATATAGATGTAGTACATATCTACAGATGTGTCAGTGTAGTATATATACGGGCATACAGTGATATACATGTATATATTCATAGAGTGTCTCTTCGCCTTCTGCCTTCTTGCCGCAGCACTGTGCGGGCACACTTCCTCCTGCATTCTCATGCATCCTCCTCTTCCTCCTCCTCCGGGTTCGGCTGCGGCAACGGCGCCCCTGCAAGGATCGCCCAAACCGCACGAATTGCAGGGACGGCGGCGCGCGGCAAACAAAGTCCAGGTGCTGGCCGCCCTGGCGGTGTCTGGGCCGACGGGCCTCCAGCGGGCGGCAGCCTTGCCGAGGAGATCCAGGCGCTCAAATCGCAGCTGGTGGCCCTGCAGCAAAGAGGAGAAAGGAGGGGGCGGCGGAGCCAGCAGGCCCAATACCCCCCCCCACTCAGGCGGGCCAGACGTGTCGGACTCGTCCTTCGCGCAGGTGCTCACCTTCCTGAAGGTCCAAGGGGTCGACGCGTCGGCGATCTCCACCGTCGAGCATGCCAAGGTCAAGGCCTACGAGTCGCGGCCGCCCTTGGCCATCGCCGCTCGTCACAGAGTGGAGAATGCGATTCGCAAGGTGGATCACTTCGTCTGCCGTATGGCGGAGTTCGAGAAGCAGCAGGCCCAGCTCGCCAATACCTTCGAGGAGACGAAGGGGCAGCTCGAGGAGGCCGGCGCGTAGTTCGAGTAGCACACGAAGATGCTCCACAAGGGCAACTTCGCCGATGTCGAGGGCCCGATCGCGGTTGGGCTGGCTGGCCTCGATGAGGCGGTCACCGGCTTTGCCGAGGGCCAGTCGGCGCTCGAGGCGCGGCAGCGCCTGCAGCGCGAGGCCCGTGCAGCGGCCCAGGCACCGCAAGGTGCTGCTGCTGGCGATCCTGGTTCTGATTCAGATGAGCAGCCTGCTGACGTCCCCATGGGAAGATCTGCCCAAGCCGAGGACTACGACAGCGAGTTTAAGCAGGGGCTCAAGCGGGCGATGGCAGCTGAGAGCGCAGAGCAGGAGGTGGCAAAGTATCTCGCCGAGTCTGAGGCTAAGCGCCAGCGCCGTTTCTGACGATCAACACGTGCTTGATCTGCCTCCAGCTGCGTGGCCTCGTCTAGGCAGCAGTCAGGCCGCGGAGCGGCCAGCCCCCAGGAGGCACTTCCCCCCTCGGGCTCAAGAGGCCAACGAAGAGGGTGACGGCACATGGAGTCCGACTTCAGGCGCGCGAGCAACGACTTCGGCTACTCGTTCCAGCGACGCACCCGCGGCTCCAGAGAAGCCTGTGGCCCTTCCACGGTCGGAACGCGCACAGGGCTCGGGCTCCGTGGAGTCCCATGCCCAGCGTGAGGGATCCCGTAGGTCGGGCACGGTGGAGGAGCTGGCGGGGGTGCCGCATGGCGGGCGTCTTCAGCATCCAGACCAGCTACCGCGAGAGCGAACTCAAGGTCAAGGGCTCCTTCTGTCAGGCCCGCGATGCAGCGCATCGGTCGAGTCAGCGTTTTTTTCCCTCGCCCCCATGCGGCAATTCGCGTGGTTTCGAAAACAACTCGATCAAGATCCACCAGCTCGAGGAGCTGGTGACAGTCCCCCCCAGGTGGCCAGCGATGTGTATGCCGCTGGATTGGGGGCAAGTTCGAGCCATATCACTGGGTCGACCTCGGCGGCTTCGTCACCTGCTAGGGCTAGCCATGGGCAGCCCCAGGCTGATGTGCAGCCTTTTTGCCCCGCCGTACTTGATGATTCTGGGGGTGGGGGCCTAGGGCGGCCTTGCCCTTCGCCCGGGTCGGGTGGACTGCGTCCTGGCGCGGCTGTGCACAGTGATTTCGGGAAAGGACGCAGGGGGCCACCAGCGTATCGACGCGGTCGCTAGTTGAGTGACCTGTGCATTTTTGGGAGCTGGCGTGAACGGTGGGTCGACGGCGGCCACCGTAGTCATTGGTTCCGAGACGCGGCTGGCAGTGAATCTTCCTGGGGCGAAGGCACCCAGGGCAAGTTTCAGGACTGGGCCTTCCAGGGGGCCCGCCTGAAAGGCGCCGGCGATGTAATTTCGGCCTGGGGCTGGGCCCGCCGCAATGGGTATGCCAGGTCCCCCAGGAAGGCTCCCAGCGCGGGCTCTGGCCCGCTTCGAGCTCTGGAGGTGCGGGGGTTCTGTTTGCTGATCGCATCGGGTCTCGTCCCCCCGGACCTCTCTGGATGGGTAAGTGCGACGGGGGGATTGTTGGTCGGTTGCTCAACGTGGGATTTGGCGAGGGCCTAGATATCTACAGTGTTTATTTGATCCGCGACCTCGGGGTCGCAGGCGAGAGTTCGGAACTTTTGGATGTGCCGGGCCACGCTCTGCGCGCCTGTGAGCGTCCGTGGGTGGTGCAAAGAGACTGGGACTTGACCCCCGGAGCTCTCTCTCTCTCTCTCTCTCTCTCTCTCTCGCTCTCTCGCTCTCTCGCTCTCTCGCTCTCTCGCTCTCTCGCTCTCTCGCTCTCTCGCTCTCTCGCTCTCTCGCTCTCTCGCTCTCTCGCTCTCTCGCTCTCTCGCTCTCTCGCTCTCTCGCTCTCTCGCTCTCTCGCTCGCTCGCTCTCTCTCGCTCTCTCGCTCGCTCGCTCGCTCTCTCGCTCTCGCTCGCTCTCGCTCGCTCTCGCTCTGTCGCTCTGTCGCTCTGTCGCTCTGTCGCTCTGTCGCTCTGTCGCTCTCTCTCTCTCGCTCTCTCGCTCTCTTGCTCTCTCTTGCTCTCTCTTGCTCTCTCTCGCTTTCTCTCGCTCTCTCTCGCTCTCTCTCGCTCTCTCTCGCTCTCTCTCTCGCTCTCTCTCGCTCTCTCTCGCTCTCTCTCGCTCTCTCTCGCTCTCTCTCGCTCTCTCTCGCCCTCTCTCTCTCTCTCTCTCTCTCTCTCTCTCTCTCTCTCCCTCTCTCTATACATATATATATATATATATATTTATATTTCAGGCTGGCTTCAGCTAGTGCGCAGCACTTTGGCAGTTCCAGGTCAGCCAACCTGCTTAGCGAGTGCCCCTGGGACGTCCATGGGAGAAGATGACGGCGAGGGTCGGCCATTCGCGACTCGGGGGGAAGGGAGATCGACTTCTTCGTCGTTTCTTCGTCCATCAGTTCGAGTGTCCGAGAATTATATGTACTCTCAGGGACACCTATTTCCGCGTGGTCCAGTGCCGCTGCGGATGGGGGACCTCGACCAGTCTGCGGTCGTGGACCAGCAGGTGCGTTTCAAGCCGTTCGGCACTTCTGTCATGGGCCCGCTGCCCTCTGAGGGGGATGTCCACTGGGGCGACCCACCAGATCATGATTTCGAATGGCTTTCGAAAGAGTAGTACGTCGAGTCGGAGAAGAGGCTGATCGAAATACATGGTATCGAGGACCCCCGTGGGCGCGTCGGGCGCTCCGCCGGGCCCCGGGCCCGCAGGGTCCCGCCGGCTTCGGTCTTGGAGCGCGATCGTCGTCGTCGCTTCTCGCGGTAGACCGCCGCGTGGGTCGCGTTTGTCTCTTAGCATCAGAAAAAACAGAGCCACCAATGAATGGTCTCCTGGAGCGAAGGGTCGGCATCTATTGGGCACCTGGAAGCTGGGGCTAGGTAGCCTGTCTTTGTGCCTTGAGATTGTCTCCGAGGGGCCGAGCCAGGACAGGTTGCGCCCCGTGGTCTCTGCAGCGACGGGTCCTGGGGCTTGGGGTCAAGATTTTCTAAATTCGAAGCCGAATGTTCTCGCCGCCAGAAGCAGGGCGCAGCTGCGCAGCTGGCCAAGTCGAAGGGGCGGGCCAAAAAGTCCGTCGCTTGATGGGGGTAAAGCATTGCATGCCTTCTCGAAGCAGGAGGTTATCAGTCGCGCCCGATGAGGCGACAACGGTCCAGCTCTCCCTGTGGCTGGTCAGGCCGCCCTTCAGCAACAACTGGAAGCTTGGTGTCTTATGTGGTTTCAGGCTGGTCGAGGACCGCCTCCGCATACTTGGGAGGCCCCGCCCGACGAGCCTGACATCGCGCCCCTAAGTTTGGAAGGTCTTTGCGGAGTGCGCAGGAAGTGCGGGTCCTTGGCGGGCCTAGGCTGGGGCGGCTTTCACCCTGGATGGGTCCTGCCGTTGCCTGAAAGTCATCAGTTCCGCTTGTTGGAAATCCTGACTCTCGCCGAGATCAGCCCAGGGGCGATCGTCCTTTCCATGGCCAACGTGGTTTCCCTGGACAAGCCGACGGGCGGGGTCGGGCCCATGGGGCTGCTGCGCTTTCTCATGAAGCTCTGGAGTCGTCGTCGGCATCCCTATGGCAGATCGTGGGAGAAGTCCGACGCGTTCGACTTTTCCGGGGGATCGGGACCAGATGCTGCCTGCGAGCGAGCGGGGCGGGTCCGCAACCTGCGCGGTGCGCGTTGCAGGAAAGCAGGCTTCGCATCGGCGCCGCGCTGTAACATTATGGGGATGTTACCCGCAGTCATCTGCTCGATGCCGTTGTTCGGTTCGGGATCCCAGTCAGGCTCCTGAGATGGCATGGTGCCATTTACGCTGGTTTCCGTGTGCTGTTCCATGGAGGGGCGGCTTCTCAGGTCGGCGAACCAAATGGAAGTGCCATCGCTGGCTGCTCGGGGGCCACGACGTTCTCCAATATACTTTTGCTTGGCCCGTTGTTGGAGGCTAGGGGGTAGCGTGACCTGCTTTACTTTACGTGTCGTACTTTACGTGTCGTCGACGACATTGCCTTGCAGTGCTGTGGTCCGAGGGCTCAGGTAGTTTCGCAGTTGGCAGGTGGAGTGGGGTCCCTCTTTAAGTCTGTCAGGCAGCTGAAGCTACCAGTGGAGCACAGGAAGTGCGCCTGCCTCTGCTCTCGGGAAGTCGAAGCGCTCCCCCCTCAGCCTTGGAGTCCCTTCCCTACGTGCAGAACTCGACGCTGGGCGGGTTTAGGGGGATCGGCAGCCAGAGTGCTCGTCTAGCTTCGTCGTCGGCTCGTTCCAGGTGATTGAAGATTTTGCAGCGGGCTGGAGCGGAGATCGGGGTGGTCCATCGGATGGGCCCTACAGCCGCGGCCTCTTGGGGCTCGAGTGTCTTAGGAGTGGCCCCTGCCAAGGTGGCGGGCCTGCGTGTTGGTGCTGCAAATTTCCTCGGCAGGCTCTCCAAAGGCGCCTCGGTTTGGCCCCGGATGTGCACTGGCGGCCTGGGGTCCAAGATCGACCTGCTGATCGTGTATGCAGGGCATGTGCTGTTCACGCGGGCCACGGCTGTCTGGGAATTTGCTCCGAGGGCCCAGGTCCTGGTCAGTGCGATGCAGTACTCCATAGCCAAGTCTCAGAATTCGAGGCACCCTTGGAGATCGGCTGCGCCCCCGATCGCCGTGGCCCTGCTCACGCTGCGCGGGCTCGGCTGGGGCATCCGGGGCCGCCGGCATGTGTTCCATGATATTGGGGTCGAGTTTAATGTGTTGCAGCTCCCTCCGACGCAGGTCAGGGCCCTTGTGCAGCATGGGGCGGTCCGCGCGTCGGACAGGCGCTCCCTCTTTCTTCAGAAAGGCCATGGTGGCCAGCAATTTTACCATAATTTTTGGGGCGGAGCTGGCATGGTGTTTCGTGAGAAATCGGGTACCTGGAGCAAACGTCACCAGCTTTGCCTTCGAGGTCTGGGTTCGGGAGTTCTTTGGCCCTGAGAGAGGCTGTTCAGGCACAAGCTACGCAGCGACGAGCTGTGCCAGCTTTGCCGAGGTGCGTCAGGCATTCTATTTTACAGGCAATAGGACTGCCCAGCGCAAGCCGCTCTTCGGCGAGATGTGCTCGCGCAGGTGGGTTTGTCCCCGTTTGAAGTTTATAGAGATTGTCAGAGCACTGTGGACTCCCTAGCGCGGTGCCTCAGTTTCTCCGAGGGCC